GTTTCAATTGCAATGAAAAATTCACCCCTGGACATAAGTGTCAAGCACCACAATTGATGATCCTAGAGGGATGTATACAAGAAGATGAAGCACCAGAGGAAATTGGAGGGATAAACATGACAAAGGAAATACTCGAGATTGAGGAAGATATCAGCATAAAGGAGCCCAAAATCACTCTACATACTCTAACTGGATGGACAGCATCGAGAACAATGCGAATTAAGGCAATTATTGGAGCTCATAAGGTTGTCGCCTTAATTGATAGTGGGTCCACTCATAACTTCATCAGTGATCGAGTAGCCGAAATGCTTCATTTGCCCGTGAAGCCCACGGAACCATTTACTGTCAGAATTGCTAATGGAGAAAGATTATCATGCAAAGGGAAATATGAAAAGCTTCCGGTTGATTTACAAGGTAATGAGTCCCAACTCGATTTTTTTTCATTACCCTTGACTGGTTTGGATATGGTGCTAGGAATTCAATGGTTAGAAACATTGGGTTCAGTAGTAGTAGGTAGTGACCAGACTCTTAACGTAAAACTTTATATGAAAGTTAACTAAAAGAGGACAATTATTCTTCTTTTTCTCTTTTTCCCCTCTTCTTTTTCCTTCGTCCCTTCCCCTATTCTTTTTTCTTTTCTCTCTCTCCCCCTATTCTTCCTCCCTCCTCACCGTCGGTTAATGCCTCCAGAGACTGCCTTAAGGCTAGATCATATTTATATAGGTTGCATAGAGGCCGTATGTGACTCTTCTGGCTTTGAGATGGTCCAATCTGGCCTCTATGCATGTCAACGAAAGCCGAATTTGGTACCAGCTTTGTGAGGTCGGATCTAGCCTCTTGATGCTAGCCAAGGCTAGATTTGACTCTATGGCGTTGAAAAGGCCCAGGTCGGCTCTTGAGTAGTGCCAAGAGGCCAGATAATGGCCTCAATAGGCGCCGACTCGAGGCCTCCAGGCCTTTTCGCGACTGTCACAAGACCTTCGACAGCCTGCAACGACTGCCATGAGGCTGTTGGAGGCACGGGGTGGTTCTGGGTGTATGGGTTTAAAAGTGGCAAAAATATATATTTTGCCCTATTTTCCCATCCATTCAATGATATATAATAGAACGTGACTAGATAAAAAAATTTAAAAAAAAAAACTGAAACAAGTATTGAAAAGTGTAGAAATTACATGGTGCGAGTTACAGTATAGCCATTTAGATTGGCTGCTTCTGTTATGGCATTCCTCCACGCTTGCACCTTATGTCGAAATTGTTCTTCTGTCATCTGTAGCTTCTCTAACTTCTCTTTATTAAAACTTTCTACAAGCCTAGCAAATCCATTACCGAAAGTATCAGTTTGATTCCTTATATGTGATGGATCTACGCAAAAGAAGACTGGTAGTACGATCTGTCTAGAGCTTTCTTGCATTCCATGATCTTCACAAGTTCTTCAAGACACCATCGAGATGAAGCATAACTTTCTGAGAAGATTATAACCGAAATTTTTGAATCTTCAATTGTATTTAGAAGAGATGGAGAAATTTCATCTCCTTTGTGAAGTTGGTCATCCATGAAAACATTAATATGATATTCCCAGTGCAAACGGCCGTGTAAAATGCCAGTAATTGTGGTTCGAGTTTGCTCACCTCTAAAACTGATGAAAACATCGTACTTCTTTGATACTTTGAGCAGTAGCGGAAGAAGAAAATGAAGCCATCTCAACAAAATCAAATCAAATCAATACACCATTTCAAGAAAACATATTCAAAAGACTCAAATTAGTAAAAAGTACAATAATCTGCTAAGCAACTTCTATAAACTTCCCACCTAACTCCTTAATTCATTCTCTCGGGCCTCGATAAAAACTCCGCAGCCCCTTTACTACAGCTGTTGTGTTTTGTTTGGATCCTCATATTATTTTTATTTCATCCTTGTCTTTCTCCTAGACAAAGGATGATTCGAACTTAAAAGTCAAAACAAAGACGGAAAAAAACACCATTATGCCCTTCGTCTAACTTAATGAGCTAAGCTATAATTTTCAAGTAATATTGAAACATTACTGATATTGAAAATTAATACCGGATGTAATGTTACCCACATTAACTATTAAATTTTTCCATTTTTTTTTTTTTTTTTTTTTTTGGGTTAAGCGGTGTCGAGAAAATGAATGTTTGGTAAAACTACCGTACCCCATCAAAAAAAAATTTAAAATGCAACTAGAGCATTACCACCACAAGTGGACTTTTGTCACCTCTGAAAATTTTCTACTGACCTCTATCTTTAATTAATTTTAATTGATAGTTATTAAATATAATAACTATTTGACATACATGTGTAGTTTTATAATATGAAATCAGCAATATTATGTGATAACATAAACTTTCTCACCGTATTAACCTTATTTTAGTAATCTAATAATAAGTAAAATTTTTACATATACACAACCAGCAATTAAGAAATCTTTTAAAGAAATTTTCCTTCTATGGTTATCTTTATCATTGGATTCGACATGCACCTTTCTCATTTGATGCTAGAACAACATCAAATTGTATGTTAAAAAGAAATCTACCGATAGCCTGTAGCTCATCGTCAGACAAGTGAAATGTCTATTTTATTTCAAGCCATTTGTAATTTGTGAGAGTTTTGAGTCTTTAGAGAAAGACTTTATTCACCTGGAGGTTTTTGTTTACTGGATCGAGATCCGACCTTTTAAAATACTAGGCAACACACCTTTATGTTAATTAAATCTTAACTCTGAAAGGTCTCCGCGGTAGCCAGCTTGTGCTGGGCCTGTGTTGAGCTTAAGCAGATGTTGAAACTTAAGCATCTGGGTTACAGCAGTTTAAAAGAATTAACAAAGACTAATGGGTGCTTCTCCATTTGGACCATTTCAGTCCGTTAGTTGTTTAAGTGATACGGTGCGCAAAACGCTGCATATGAACATACGAAAATTAGGGCTGCATAAAAAGACCGGAAACCGAATCGAACCATAAAACCGGATTGAAACCGGTCCGAAAAACTGGTTAACCGAAAAATGAGTTTCGGTTTCAGTTTGAAAAAATAGCTAAACCGCTTATCCGGTTCGATTACTGGTTTAGGTATTTTTCAAACCGGTTTTTTGAACCAGTTATCCTTTAAAAATTTAAAAAATATATTATAATATATTTGAAAACTAAAAGTCTAAAAAGTTTAAACCTAAGGTTAAAAGAGTAAAAGGCTAAAAGTAAAACTAAATCCCTAAAAAAAACTACAGACCCAACTAAATATTTGCCGCAATAACACTAGGGACACCGAAAAACTTGCACCGAAATTCTGTACCGGCCTACGTATAACACGCGTCTGAATTTTTTTATAATTTTTTTCTAGTGAACGGCCGTTCATCAAATTTGGACGGCCGTTCACTCACATGGACGCCCGTCCATATTATATGGACGGGCATCCATATATAAGGGACGGGCGTCCTCATTTAAAAGACGCCCGTCCATAAATAAAATACAATAAAAAAATTTGTAAAATATTATGGACAGCCGTCCGTTAATTTTGGACGGGCGTCCATAAGGAATGGACGCCCGTCCAAACTTAATTTGTTTTAAAAAATAAAATAAAAAATTTGGACGCCCGTCCATAAATTATGGACGGGCGTCCCTTAAGTTTGGACGGGCGTCCATAACTAATGGACGCCCGTCCATTATGTATGGACGGCAGTCCACACTTAAGGGACGGCCGTCCCTTGTGTAAACAGCAAATTTAAAACTCAAGAAACTGGAATTTTCTTGACATTTTCACTCTGATCTCTTCAGCCACGCTTCACTCAATTCAACGCCCTCCATTTCATCGTCATACTCCACTCTAAACACCCAAAAACTTAAAATGATGACCAGCAACTATGTTTGGCTTGCAACAGATTGGTTTTCTGCTACCTTAGATTCATTCTCTCCTCTGAATGGAACTTCACTTAGTGATCTCCAAGGAATAGTAGCGCTTCGTCAACATACTCCAGAGTCCGCCCGTAAGAAGGCCTTTCTATCTCAGTGGAGCAATATGGAGCAGAAAGGATTAGCAAGTTCTAGGTTGAATACGTATGGGATGTATGCTTATGATACAGTTTGGGCAGTTGCGCGTTCCATCGATGAGTTCATAGATGAAAATAACATCACCTTTTCTATCAATAAGGACTCGATATCAAAGTAACTGGAGTACAGCTGGGGGAGCTCAGAGTGAAAATGTCAAGAAAATTGGGTGTTTAGAGTGGAGTATGGCGATGAAATGGAGGGCGTTGAACTGAGTGAAGCGTGGCTGAAGAGATCAGAGTGAAAATGTCAAGAAAATTCCAGTTTCTTGAGTTTTAAATTTGCTGTTTACACAAGGGACGGCCGTCCCTTAAGTGTGGACTGCCGTCCATACATAATGGACGGGCGTCCATTAGTTATGGACGCCCGTCCAAACTTAAGGGACGCCCGTCCAAACTTAAGGGACGGCCATCCATAATTTATGGACGGGCATCCAAATTTTTTATTTTATTTTTTAAAACAAATTAAGTTTGGACGGGCGTCCATTTCTTATGGACGCCCGTCCAAACTTAATGGACGGGCGTCCCGTATTTGCGGACGCCTGTCCAAAATTAAGGGACGGTCGTCCACAACCTATGAATGGCTGTCCATAATGTTTTACAAATTTTTTTATTATATTTTATTTATGGACGAACGTCCTTTAAATGAGGACGTCCGTCCCTTGTATATGGATGCCCGTCCATATAATATGGATGGGCGTCCATGTAAGTGAACGGCCATCCAAATTTGATGGATGGCCGTTCACTAGAAAAAAATTATAAAAAAATTCAGACGCGCGTTATACGTAGGCCGGTACAGAATTTCGGTGCAAGTTTTTCGGTGTCCCTAGTGTTATTGATATTTGCCGTCACTTACCTTCTCTTCTCCACTTTGCTGTGTCTCTTCACCATTATTTGTGTCGACCAATGCTGTGTCTCTATCAACATGATTTCTCTCACTGCTACCACCATGGCTGGTGTTGCTACAACTAGTGGCGTAGGCGTTTCATCACTTTTGACTTTGAAGCTATCATCAACTCTCTTGTTCTCCGCAGCCGCTAGGATGATGGTTATCGTGAACGAGATCCAGCCTTCACAACTTGCAGAAGAGCAACGTCATGCAACAAATTTGTTCAAGCAGCTCCAGAGACAAATACAAACTGTCCTTACTCTAAGGGTTCCCAGTGAAGACGATGTGAAAGAAGCAATGGAGAAAGTTTTGGTGCTTGACCAAGCATACCCACTTCTCTTTCTAGGTAAAATGATAGAGATTAGAGAAGTTCCCTAAAACATTTGAGCCTGCTGTTTGGTGGCCTTCAAATCACTCCCAGACAAACAACAAAGTATATAAAAGAGAGCAAAGCAGCATGAATACAGAGAAAAATGGATGGAGTGAAGATCTTGAAGAGGAAATGAGAGAGATTATTGAAGTGTTGAAGAGGAAAACCGCTAACCGAACTAAAAATTCGGTTCGGTTAGTAATCGGTTTAAGATAGGAACCGGACCGGTTTCAGTTTGCAATTTCCATTAAACTAAAAATTGGTTCGGTTAGTAAAATAGACAATCCGATTCGGTTAACCGGATTTCCACACCCCGGCTACCTAGTTGAAAAATGTGGAGGTTCACAAACATTTTCCTAAATTTCACTAATAACTAAGAGTAGTACTACACGTAAAGTTTTCTCACAAAGAAATGAATATAAAATGAGGTGATGTTACCCTTTAAATGACATATCAATTAATGAGTTAGACTTTTATATTTACTCTCATTTATATATTATTTTATCTCTCTGTGTTTTATGTATGTTTATTAGTATTTCTGTTTCATATTGTCAGGTCTTTGTATGGTATTACACAGAAAATTGTTCGTGATATTTTGGAGATGTTGAATTACTTGTCTTCCGAAGTTGATAACAATAACTTGATTGCAATTGAGCCAAGCATTGACTACATAATTAAATATTTACTAGGTCTTGATAATTATCCATTGATGGCCAGAAATGATAATCATAGGATAGGTATTTGGGGAATGGGTGGTGTCGGCAAGACGACTATAGCTGAAGCTGTATACAACAAAATTTGGCCTATGTTTGAAGCTTCTTACTTTGCTTTAAATGTTAGGGAGAAATCCAGCAATCAGAATACATTAACTCTCTTGCGACAAGAACTTCTTTCGACACTAATAAATGACCGGCATTCAAATATGACTTTCACTTACCATGCAAAAAGGAGGCTTGGCAGTCAAAAAGTTCTCATAATTTTTAATGATGTTACATGTTTTAGTCAAATAGAATTTTTGATTGGGGATCTTAATTGTTTGGGTCGAGGAAGTTATATTATTATTACAAAAAGAAATAAACAAGTGCTTAGAAACTATGGAGTGCATGAACGTTATATATACAAGATTGAGGGATTATCTCATTGTGGAGCTCTTCAACTTTTTAGTAGGCATGCATTTGGACAAAATCATCCCCAAAAGGGCTATGGTGCGTTGTCAGATAGGGTGGTTGAGTATGCTAAAGGCATTCCATTAGCTCTTAAAGTTTTGGGCTGCTTTTTACTTGACAAATCAAAAGAAGTTTGGGTAAGTGCAATAAGTAAACTAGAAATAATTCCTCATGAGGATATTCAGAAGGTGTTAAAAGTAAGTTATGATAGACTAGACGATACAGAGAAGAACATATTTTTAGATATTGTATGTTTCTTGAAATGGGAAAACAAAGATTTTGCAACAGAATTCCTGGACGCTTGTGGCTTCTATGCAAAACTTGGGATAAGTGTTCTCATTGACATATGTCTTGTAACCATATCAAATGATAACAAGATAATGATACATGATTTACTTCAAGAAATGGGTTGGGAAATAGTCCGACAAGAATGTACGAAAGATCCCGATGAACGTAGTCGTTTATGGTATCACGAAGATATCAATAGTGTACTAGAAGAAAATACTGTAAAAGGCATTATTTAGGCATTATTTAACTTTTGACTTCTGATTTATGCATATGAGATCTAAGAAAACGTCAGCATTGAGAATTATGTTTCCAGTTATCCCATGTGTTAGCTTAGGCGATGGATGGTTGGACAAAATATATTATCAATCTGAGCTAGGCTTTAGCCATCACTACTGATATATGCTCTTAAATATCTGCGGCTAATTAAATATTATCTTTTTGTTTGATCATCAGGGGACTAAAGCTATTGAAGGCATATGTTTAGACATGTCTAAAGAAAAAGAGATCAAATACTTACAACCAGGTGCCTTAGCATTGATGCGCAAGCTGAGATTCTTTAAACTACATAACCCACAATACGAAGAGAATAATATTAATAAAGTGCATGTTTCCGAAGACCTTAATTCTATTTCCACTGAGTTACGATACCTCTGTTGGCATGGATGTCCGTTGAAATCATTGCAATCAAATTTTCGTCCAAGAAACCTCATCGCACTTGACATGCCTCATAGCAATATTGAACAACTATACCCTGGTGGTGTCCAGGTAATATATATGTACATTGATATGCTAGCTAATTATTCTGTTTAAATTTCTCACCATCAAAAACAATAAATTGTGTCAGTAATTTTTTATTTCTTGCTTGCAGCTCCATATGTTGAAACATATTGATCTCAGTTACTCCAAGAATCTAAGAATTCAAGATCTTTCGTTGGCTCCAAATCTTGAGAGTTTGATTTTAGAAGGTTGTATGAATTTGTTTAAGATTTCCTCATCTATTCGGTGTCTTAATAAGCTTGTCATCCTAAATCTAAGCCATTGCAAAAATGTTTGTAGTCTGCCAGTGGGCATTCGCTTGGAATCTCTTAAAAAGGCTATCTTTTCTTGTTGCTCAAAGTTCAAGATATTTGATCCAGAGATCTCATCTAACTTAGAAGAGTTATTTTTAGATGAAACTACAATAGAGGAGTGGCCCACATCAATAGAGAATCTATCGAAACTAGTTAGGTTGAATCTTAAAAATTGCGCAATGCTTGAGAATCTCCCAATTAATATCTGTAAGTTGAAATCTCTTGAACATCTCATTCTGTCAGGATGTTCAAAACTTGATGGATTGCCTGACAACATAGGAAATTTGGAAGCTTTAAAGGTGCTTAAAGCTGAGAGAATTAGAAAAATGGTAGTACCATCATCCATTGTACATTTGAGACGTTTGATGGAACTAAATTTGACCAACTGTCATATCAGGGAATTACCCGACGATCTTGGTAAGTTATCCTCACTAGAAAGTCTACTTCTTGGCAGAAACTTTTTTGAGAGCATTCCAACAAGCATCATAAACCTTTCTAAGTTATCTTATCTTGACTTAAGCTTTTGTGAGAGACTTAAATCCTTACCAAAACTTCCTCATGAATTAGAAGGTATTGATGCACACAATTGTACATCATTAAAAGAAGTATCAAATTTACCTTACCTTTTATGTGATCTTGAATGCTTGGATGCACACGGTTGGACAGCAGAGGAAGTATCATCAAGTTTATCAACAAGATTTCCCAAAACTGACTTGAGAAACGTGAGAGTCAACTTTAGCAATTGCTACAGGATGGATCAAAATGTACTCGAAGAAGTTGTGGAAGATGCTATGCTGGAAATCCAACCTAGCAAAATATCAATGGGGATCCGCTCTAAGGTGATCTTACTCTCTCTTTTTCATATGATACGAATTTCTTTAGAAAAAAAGGAAGTGATATGTTAAAAGAAATATTAGAAAACTCTTTTTTTTTTTTTTTTACTCTTATTCTCTGTTATGCCTCAAAAGTCAAGCCTATGTCAGCACAATTAATGTCTCTCTGTACCAGCTGCCAAACCCATATCTCCAAGATATTCTCACCAACTTTATCTCATTTCAAAGAGATGAATGGACGAGAGCCTTCCATGTGTCAAGGCAGCTTGCAAAACACTCATTGCATTGAGTGCAAATGTGAATAAATGGGCATTTCTCTTCCCGAAGAAGGGAGGCTGGTGACTGGGCTGAGATTTAGCTTCAATTCTTTCTGGTGGCTGGGCTGAGATTTAGCTTCAATTCTTTCTTTCTGTAAAAACACTGTATTTCTTCATCTTTGTATGCCTTACAGGCAAATTCATAGAAATAGTGAGAGATCAAATAAAATAACAGTGGATGTAGGAGTCGCTTGTTACATCCGAACCACTATAAAAACCCCTCTTGCCAATCTTTTAGTTATATTTTCTGCAAAATATATAATCTCAGCTCCATATTCAAATCTCATGGATCCATCGCGTGTGATTTCTAGGTCCGCTTAGCGCTTCTCATGTGCGAGTCGTTGGCGTCCAAAATCAAGCGTCAACATTCTCAGTCTTTCAAAGTTTTAATAATGTTAGTAATATCTTCTTCTTCTTCTTCTTCTTTTGGATACAGGGATATCTTCCACACCTGAGTGCTTGTATCTGTTTTTCTGGAATTGAAATTCCCAATTGGTTCAACTTTCAAAGTGAGGGATCTTCTGTAACTCTCTTAGAAGCCTCAGTGCCGTACGGTAGTAAAATTTGTGGTTTTGCTGTGTGCGCTATTGTAGAGTTTCAAAACTATCATAACGAGGGGCAAGGTTTGGTGGTTGGCCATCACTACAGGTTGAGACGCGGCTCTAACTACAGGTTGAGACGCGGCTCTAACACTAATAATTGGACTGCACCTGGTGCTTTAAAGAGTTGGGACTATGGCACTGGACCTGAATTCGTGGACTCGCATCACGTTTTCCTGGGTTTTGATTTTCGTCCACAGTTACCAGAAAATAGGCCTTACCCCAGTGCTTTAGTTACTACCATCCAATTTTATGTTGAGGATTTGAATGCCAAACGCACAGGTTGTTGTAACGTGAAAAAGTGTGGGGCATATTTTATTTATGAAGGGCAAAGGAGTCCAATTAAAGTGACATCTCCATTTGATAGGAAGGTTGATAAAAAGAAAGAGAAAGAGAAGGAGAAGGAGAAAGAGGAAACACACAGCAAGAGATTGAAAATTTCAAATTCCTTTAAAGGCAAATCCAGCTCAAGGTAAGTAATAAAACGCCTCATATTATGGTATCTTACATATTATGTCCCTATATGTTTGGTTAATTTTTATGACTTAAATTTTAGTTTTATATTGGTAAGTTCACTGTCTCGACCTAGTACATCATTTTCTTATTCAAGTCTTATGCTTATGATTTATTCTAAATGTGTTTCTTTTGGGTCTCACTACATCCTGTGCGTTTGTGGTCAGCTTACTACTACTTGTGGCTTACAATTTGGTCCAAAGATGATTTTGGAAAATATTTTTTACTTCTATCATACTACTGGAATTCATATGTCCACAGACTCATATGTCTCCTTCAATGCACATTTACTTTCTTATCACTGAAATACGTCTCTTATATCCTGTGATGACGGGGAATGTCTTTAGGCGAAATTTTCTCCATAGTAGTAGACTCATCAAACTTTAATTCAGTCATCAAGCCTAGCCCATGGACAATGAATCTTATGCATCAATCATACACCCTAAACCTCATCTCTTTTGGCAAGACGTCTGCCTTTAAAACCTTCATCGACAACATAATGGGCTAGAACTCATTATCTTTTTAGTGGTGCATACAGAAATTACAAGTATAATTTTTAGTTAAATAAACCATGTTTATTGCCAACACCACGACCGGAAAGGCCGATAATTCACAAATCTGGCCTTTTTCGGCCAGATCCACAGTGGATCTGGTCGGAAAAGGCCTACCTGGTCGTTTGTGACGACCAAATAAATGGCCGTTATTGACCAACAATGACGGCCATATTTTTGGCCGTCGGACTTTTGCGGCCGTTGACGGCCACATCTGGCCTTAAATTTGGTCTTTTCCGTCAAATCTGACAGGTATGTGTCGTAATGCAATTTTTCGGTCAGATTTCGTCGGTGGTGGCCAGAATCTGGCACTGCGGGTGGTGGGGGTGTTTTTGTCATTTCACAAAATTTTTATATATTGGGGTGTTTAGTTAAATTAGCAAACTTTTGGGGTTTTTTTGAAAATTTTACCTCGTAATACTCAACTATTCAACTACCCAATATTATTCTCAAAATCCTATCCAAAATAATAAACCAAACAGACCCTAAAATATTTATCCAATTTCAACTCAAATCAGTAAACAAGAGTAACCTCATCAATGAAAAGTAAATAAATAACCCAAATGGATGTGAGTTTGTGGTTGAAAAATCTCTAATCTGGTTGCATTCGTAGTCACTTCACCAATTTCTCCTCCTCTTTTCATCATGTCGTGACTCAAGTCAAAAAGAGTTTGGGAAAGTGCAATAAAGAAACTAGGAGTGGTAATGATGAGACCTCCACAATGCTTGTCTACGGTAGGAAAAACAAGGGACTGAGTAGACGATTTGGGCAGGGTTTGTGAGCATAGGACAGTCCCGAATTGCATGTTATTGCGTGTGAGGCATTTGACAGGTGGCAACTAAAGATTGGGTTATGGGGAAACTCTGTTAGAGTGAGAGGTTAGCAACATAAAAAGGGTGGACAAAGAATGTCATGGGTATCAAAAAAGTAAAAAGGGGAATTTTGGTTGGGAGGGGCTGGCCCTCAAAGTCCAGCTGGGTTATCTCATTTTCTTTCTCTTTGTTTACTGTTTTGTTCTGGTTATTTGTTCTCGTTGCTGTTTAATTTTGTTGATAGAATTACTAGTTGTATTGGGTGTTTGCTATCAATATATATATTGAAGTATTTTTTTGAATCGATTGCTGTTTCTTGTCTGTGATCTGGTGTTTGTGGTTTGTGGTGTTGTGGAATTCTGAAGATCTGGTGTTACTAGTTTTCTAGACAGCTTGTTTTTGAAGGTGGTCTCTAACAACTTCAAAGAGAAATTTTTGATTGACATAAAAAATGAGTTGTTGAATGATAGAAGAACTACTTCCAATGATGAGAATGTCATCTACATAAATCAACAAATAGATTTGAATCGAGCCTCTATTGGCAATAAACGAGTTGACAAAGCCCCAAGTTAGTAGAGCATGTTTCAGCTTATCAAACCAGGCTCTCGAGCCTACTTGAGACCATAAAGAGTCTTTTGGAATTTGCAAACATGTGTAGGATATGTACAGTCCACAAAATCTTCCGGTTGGGTGCATAAAGACCAATTCTTGCAAATCCCCATGCAAAAAGGCATTGTTGATGACTATTTGTTGAATATCCCAAGCTTTAGAAACTGCTACAGTAAAAAAACTCTAATAGTGTAAGCCTTGACCATAGGATTGAAAGTATCAAAGATTCTAAACCAGGAGTTGTTGAAACCTCTTTGCTACCAAACGAGTTTTATACTTCTATAAAGATCCATCAACATAATATTTTATTTGAAAAACCCACTTATTATCAACTACATTCAGTTGATATAGATGACAGTTGACCAAAATTAGAGACATTATTCTCTTGAGCAGCTAATACAGAAGAATCGAATGTTGATATAGAAGAGACAGGTGTTTTAGAGATATAAGGAACTGATGTGACTGATTTGTTTTGTAGATGTACGGGAGCAAAAGTAAATTGAGGCTCAGAAGAAATGTTACTTGTATGTGGTACACTGGCATGTGCAAAGGGAAATTCTTGTTCATTAACACTGCACCCTTAGCTATAAAAACTCTTCTAAAGAGATGCAAACACAAATATCCATTGTAACAAGAGCTATAGCCACTAAATGTGCACTTATTATGAAAATTGAACTTATGTTTGTTATATGTTTGTTATAGGGTCTCAAATAAGGGAAACAAGTGCAGTTAAAAACCTTTAACATATCAAGATTGGGAGCAGTGTGATATAATGCTTCATAAGGAGATAAGTAATTAAGAAGAGGAGTAAATAACCTGTTAATAAGGTGAACTGCAGTGTGAAATGCATTCCACCAGTATTGGAGTGGCATGGATGCTTGGGACAGAAGTGTAAGACCTATTTCAACAATGTACTTGTGCTTCCTTTCAGCAGAACCATTTTGAGTATGTGTGTAGAGGAAAAAATATTTGGTAGCAATGCCTTTCTGCTCTAAATAAGGCAAAAGAGCTTTATTTTCCTCTCCATTATCAAATTGTAAGATTTTCACAGAAGTTTAAAACTGATTTTTAATCAAATTAACAAACTTGGGAAACACAACCTTCACATCACATTTATTATGAAGAGGATATATCCAAGTGTATTTGGTAAAAGCATCCATAAAAGTAACATAATACTTGTATACTATCCATCAATAGAAGCCACGGGAGAACGTCCCCGAACATCAAAATATACAATTTGAAAAGGTGCAGAAGTTTTATTCAATGAACTTGGAAATGAAACTTGGCAAAGTTTTCCAAATTGACAATTATCACAGAAGTTTAACTTGGAAACAACTTCATTATTACAATCATCAACATTTTTCAAAGTTTTAACAAGAACTTGATGACTAGGATGCTCAAGTCATTGGTGCCACAAAGTAGCTCTAGCTTTAATAGCTTCAATAATAACTGAGAAAGCTGTAGGATGAGAATTTTGAGACTTGACAGGAGATGCAGAAGAAACTTGGAGTTGATATAAGCCTCATTTGAGATGTTCCTTGCATTTGAACTTTCTGTGTGTCCTTGTCCTTAATCAAACAAGAGGTATCAAAAAATTCTACGACCACATGTTCTCGTTAGTAAATTTTGAGACACTTACTAAATTTTTTGTAATTGAGGGCACATGCAAAGCTTTACTAAGATGCAAAGTTCTACTAGTAATAGGTGAAACAAACTTAGATGAGCCAATATGCATTATATCAAGTGAATTGCCATTACCTACTGTGAGGCTTTGATTACCTTGATAAGTTGTCGGGAAAGGTCAGATCTTGAAGATTTACAGTTACATGATCGGTTGCTCCACTGTTAAAGTACCAAGACAAATCAGGTCCAATAGAAGAACTCGTTACAAAAGCTTGTGGGTTATTATTAGCTTTGGAAGAGGACTGAAAAACACTAGAAACTGCACTATTTTGCTGAGAGAGCTGCTGCTGAGCAGTTGGATTTTGAGAAACATCAGCAAACTGAGTGCATAACAGGAGTTGAACACCATGATTTTTTGAAGTTAAGGCAGAGGTCAATTGAACTTGTAGTTGTACAAATCTAGCAAAGTGACCAGAACTAGATCCACCACCAAGTTGTTGAGGGTTGAAATTTCCACCATGAGAAACTCCAATATTTTGACTTACACTTGGAACAAATTGTTGAGGTGTATGTGAACCTGAGTTTGCTGAGCAGTATTGACATTCTGATAAGAGCCACCTTGAGTATTTTATTGAAAATTGACATTGAACCTGTGATAGCAATTGAAAACTATATGGCCTGCCTTATTGCAAACTTGACACACAGGTTTGCCTTTGCCATAACTTTTACCTCTACCCCTTCCTTGACCATTGTAGTTATTTTTAGCATTGACTTGTGCAACAAGAGCTTCGAAAACAGACAATAGCAGAGAGAAATTTGCAAAATTGGAGTTTTGAGGATAAGATCCTAGTTGAGTTATATCACCAGTATTAATCAAATTTGCCAGTGGCAGAGTGCCAGTATGAAGGTCAATATTAGGTATGCTATTGGCTTTCTCAACTCGTGACTATTGGCTTTGTAGCAAGATTTGAGTTTCTTGTAAGGTCACTGTATCAATTCTAGATTCCAGATTGACTAAAACAAGATCAAAATCAGAACTAAGGCCTTATAAAATCAATAAAATCAATTCTCCATTAGTAACAATATGTCCAGCCAAAGCTAATGAATCTGCTGTCCTTCATCTTCATTATTCAATAACTTAATTTCAAAGTTCCTTTTTTAGTAGTGTACAACTTGTTCCGCAAATGCAAAATTTGGGATGTGGACTTAGTTATTATATGTTGTTCTAGGGTTGACCAAATTTCAGGAGAAATCGAACAACGAATTACATCTCTAAAAACAGCTTCAGTCAAAGAAGACAATAGGCAATTAACAAGTAATTGATCAATTTTCTGCCAGTGATGATACTAAGGGTTTTCACTAACAATTACCTTCTTAGATTTGTCAGTAGACACTTGCTCAGCAAATTACAAAAGACAAGGAATCATTCCAACAAGCTGCTTCCTAAATCCACAAATGCAAGCCTAGAAAGAGCCAGTGACCGCCGGAAGGGGTAATTAGATCGACTAAGTTTTACCGCTATCGGTTGAAGAATGTTGAATTTGATGAATTTTGAGTAGAAGTAACACAGAAAACTAATTTGAAGTGAAAGATAGGCTGTTATACGTTGTTAGAGATTTTATCTCCCTATGTGTCACAACTCACATGTACAGCCAGCTCCCCTTTAATATAAATAGGTTTTGAATCTCTTTTCCTTTAGAGTCTGCTTG